TCTTCCAAGATACCCACTTCTTCTTTCCAAAATGATCTCACAAGTAAGTTAGTGTCTCCCGGTGTACATTTCTGGGGAGGAAGGTCACATTTTCCTGCATTTATCTATGTTGTATACAAGTTCTAATTCATTAGTTCATGCAATGCTGCCTGTGGGTGCACTCAGGAGGATGTTTTCATCAAAGGACTCAAAGCCAGACCCCACCAGGCTGGGGAGTCGTTCCAGGGAAACTTTCCTGTTTTGATGGCTGCATTATTTTTTTGCAGCTAATTGGTTTCTTTTGGGTGATGCTTTCAGAAATGTTTCATGATGACCTAAATCAATTGTAGACTTAAACCAAATTTTCAATACCCTATTTTTTATTTTTAGAGATTGCTGAATTTAGCTGTGCATCCTGAAATTCGTATTATAAGATTGACTGCACCTTTTATGCTAAATAATCTGAATTTTTGCAGACTGATGTGCTACTCATTTAGGATTTCCTGACTGCAAAGTTTTCAATCAATGAGATCATGATAAGCTGCAAATTAACATAATGGAATAATTTCATCCTAGAGAGGCATGAAGTTCACTGTGTCTAAAAACAAACGGACTGAAGAAGATGGATATTCTTTAGTTGGGAATGGAGGATAAAGAGGGAGATGATACGAGTTTTATAAATTATGAGTGATAAAGAGAACAGATGGGTTTTCCTGCTTAGCTTGCCACAAAATATCCCAGAACGCTAAGTGCTCAATCCCGTTAGAAAAGCAGTACTGGAAGAATAGTGTTTTAGAAACCTACACTTTTCATGGGAGCCTTGTGTTTGTCTGAGTTCACTATTTTAGAATGAATTAAGAAGTGTAGAAGACTTCTAATTCAATAGCCTTGCTTGCATGGTGCTCTAAATTGTTGGAAGTGCCAGTTCACAGACAAGAACACTTTATGTATTTAGCAAGTGATTTTAATATGACATCGAAATACTTTCATGTTAATCTATCTTTCTAATATATTTTGTCCTTTTACTCCAGGCTTTTCAAGTAGCCATCAGCCAGCCAGTAGCATCGATGCTGAGAAACGGACCTCGGTTTCTCATACAGACGGCACGTACATTTCAACCACATATACCAGAGGAGGAGAAAGAACCCTCCTGTCTATCTCGAATAGCAGCACCTCTGCTGACTCCTCGGAAAGTTCTACCTTTTTTTCTGAAATTTCCAACCCTTCTGATTCATTGAAGTCTTCTGTGGCACAGGACAGGACAAGCAACATATCCAGCGATGACAGTTTTGTTGAACCATCTACAGAGCCGTTGCTGGTACACTCTTCCAAACTGTTGACTTCTGCTTCTGCAGGCAGTGTACCAAATACAACTCTCTTCAACACTGACTCTGAGTTGTTGACTACTGGCCGATCCTCTCTGTCTTCATCAGCATTTCCAGCCTCTTCCTCAGTGTCATCGCTGCATCACTCGCTGTCATCAACACCACCAACAACTTACTTGTTTACATCATCGGAGTCATCTGAGCCACTCTTGTCCTCTGTGATGGCGTCTTCACCCCCTCTGCAGGCTTTGTCGTCCTCCTTGCCCACTTCTTCATTGTCTTCCCCATCTTATTCATTAGCATCTTTATTGCCTCTGTTCTCATCACCATCATCCGTCTCACAGTCCAACGATCGTGGTCAAGTAAGCACCTCTCTAGCTACAACTGTGGTCAGGCGAGTGCCCTCCACAGCTGCCATGGCCGGGAGCTCGCCCAGAGGGACCAACAAGCACAATGTCACACACCATCCCCAAAACAGCACCACCTTCACCTCCAACGGGTCTCCTCCTCTCCCCACAGCACCCATGGAGCAGCTTGGTGGACACATCGTGTCCGTGTTTGCTCCCGTGATGGTAACGGAGACCACCTCGCTGAGAGCCGTCACCGTACAGGGAGGTAGCTTTGGAAAGGCAACATCGCTACTCACCACAGCCAGTGATGCTCCCCAGGCTGGGCCAACGGATGCACCCCTTAGTCCCTCACCAAGTGCAACAAACCACAGCATCATCATTCCTGCAGTGGCACTGACCACAGTGAAACCTCCTGTGCTGACAACACTGGCCAGTCGCCAGCCAACCCCAGGTGACATTAGCACCACGAAAGCCCACAGAGCTCAAACACCAGCTGCCACTAAGCACGTGTATACCACTGGTGAAAGCACAGAAGCTGTGGATCCCACCACTGCAAGGCCTGATAAAGTCACCAAGGAAAACATCCCTGTTACAAGTCCTTCTGAAGCCCCTCCAACCAGCAAGACCACTGTGAGCATTGCAACTACTTTGGCTGCTACAAAACCAACCACTGTTCCTCCGTTGAGTAGCACAACCGGGGTGAGGACATCGTCTCCAGCAACAGGTAACATGTCTAGTGGCACTCATCAGTGGTGGGGCCAGGGATGAGGGGAGCCAGGAACACCTGGGTCCCACTTTAAGGGTCTTCAAAGGGTTATGTATGATGTCTGTTGTCAGCAAGGTTTGAAGATAAGAACTTGGTCTCCGTGTTGGTATTTTTAAGCTGAGGGTTTAGCAATCAAGCAGAACTGCTGGAAAAGGGTGAGCATTTTGGTGAACGTTTCTGATAGAAACGTTAAGCTGAAATTTGAGAATTTTAAGAAAATAAAGTTGACTGGCCTTCCAGGTAAGCATAGGATGCATTTTATATTTGTCCATCGGTCGACAATATCGATCGATATCAATCAATATCTATCTTATTAATGAGAAAAGGCAGTTGGGCAGCACTTGGTATTTGTGTTGTAACTTCTTCTGTTATTCTGACCTATGGTCATTTTCTTCCCACCTCACTAAATAATCTCCTGCTCAAGGGCCTGTTGCTTCTCCTGGTAGGCTACGTACCATAGTCTTGCTGAGTGTGTCGCTACAATCATTTATTACTGCTGCCAGGCTCCTTATCTTCTCAAGTAAATTCATTGACTGAAGTTTTATATGAATGGAAATCAATTGTGTGTTTAAAGTTCAGGAGCCTGGCCCTCATGCCATTGCAGGATACTGTGTGTGCTAAATGCATTAATCTCAGTGAAATACTGGCAATAGTATATATTCCGTCCAATAATTAAGTATTTAAAGGTTATTTCTCAGGATGATTGGTTTTAATTGCAGCTATGGCTTCATGCAAAAAAATTCACTGTAGGGGAATGGATTTTTTTAATTGAAAAATTAAGGTATCGTATCCTTTTTACCAACTGATTCACTCTTTTGACAAGTTATTCTTTCCTTTAAATACTGAGTTTTGCCATTTACCAGAATGCAAAAGATCCCTCTGCTCCCTTGGATAGGGTGCTTTGTACGTCGGCACTCACTGCTGCAAGAGAAGAAGCTGCCCTGGGCCCCACTGTTCAAAGCGCAAACTGAAGGATGGCAAAGTGAAAGCCAACGTTTTAAACTACACCCACTCATTTCTGGCTGCTTAGATCAGAGACACGAAATCTCCTTCTCGCTGATGCTGAGGTAGCCGTGCCAGGCTAGTCGAAACACAGAGATTGCGTCAAACGGTGTGTCCTGACACAAAGGTCAGCTCGGGACTGTCTGGTCTGCAGGGCCTGCGTGATGCCATGGGGTATCGCAGCGCTGTCAGAAATACACACACGGGTTTGGCTCTCATGCTATGTGCTTGAACCGCAAAGCCCATCCTTCCTGCCTCTGCTGCAGTGCTCGGCAGCAGCAGCAAAATAGGTATGAGTGGTGTGTAAGCTGTCTTGCTCATCTTGTAGCGCCTTGTCGCCCCCAAGTCCACAGTCCTGCCTATGGTCTGTCCTTGCATGCGTGTGTGACATGCAGTTGTGCTCGTGTGAGTCATACGCACAGCAAGAGGAGCATTTTTGACCAGGACGTGTTTTTTTTTCAAAGGGAAGTATTGGGTATCATCTCCAGAATTTGCAATTTGAGTTGGCTATTCTATGAAGCATCTGAGACCACAGTCATTAATCACCCAATACTCGGTATTTCACAGTTGGTGTCTGCTCCCGAAGCCCTTGCTCACCCAGCGGGAAGTGCATTACGAGCAGTGTCACAGGCAGGTATCGCTGCTGTGCCCATCCCCAGCCTGGCACGGAGGAGGCTGCAGCCCTGGTGAAGGAGGTGACAGCAGCCAGGGCTGCCTCCACCATTGCTGGGTAACCTATGGACTGCCTCAGTGTTCAAGCACTAGCTTTGGATCATGGAAATAGGGCTTGGATGAAAAGGGCAGGATTTTGGCAGAGAAGCCTGTGCTCCCATGTCTAGCTCTGGCTGTCTGGGTCCCTTCTTCGGTCTCTCCATCCATAACTGTGGGGTTGTTTGTCTTTGAAAAGCACCCTGAGATCTGCAGATGAGCAGTGCTGTAGACAAGCTGGGTGATCATGTTAACATGGATCAACACTACATCCCAAGGGCTTTTGAATGAATATTCAAGAGAAAGTGGTTTGGTTTGTATTTATTCTTTCAGCTCCAACAGAATAATTAAGAACACGATAAATAGTAAGCGCAAATGATGCAATGAAGCATCTGATAATGCTCAGGGGGTCACAGAAGAGGAGCCAAGTTGATCTTTTTAGCCCAACAGCTGATGATTTTTCCGATTCTGTAACTATAGCCCATGTTTTTTTCTCCTTTTGTAGATGTGGATAAATGTCTTTCCAACCCTTGTCCTGCACTCGCCACCTGCAACAACACCCGTGGCTCCTATATCTGTCAGTGTCCTCTTGGATATGAGCTGGAAAAAGGAAAGTGCAATTTAGGTAAGAAAGCAAAAGTGAAAAACCAGGGGAGAAAAAGATGGAAATAATTATCTGTAATCTTCTAAACTAAATTAACCTAGGCTCAGACTAGTTCAGGAGCTTAATGTTCCTCCCAACCACCGCTTTTAACAAGAGCCTTTTACTGTTTATACAAGTGCAGTGTCTAATGCCTGTCGTGTCGGGGTGCCCCGGGGAGCAGGCGCAGTGATAGCTGAGGGTTTCTTAAAAACACAGCAACAGAGCGGTGGGCTCAGGCTTGTTAGTAAGGACAGATGTGCCCCTTCTGTTCCTAATGTGTTTTACAACCCCCAAAAAGCGTTCAGCAGCTTATCATAGCTCCCAGCTCTGCAAACCCTGGCGACAGCACTTGGCTTGGGAGAAGTGAGTGGGGCTATTGTGTAACCTGGCTTCAGCGGGATCAGCCATGTGCGGAAAATTAAGCAGCCGTGAAAGTCTTTGTAAGATCAAGGTCGTGTTTCGTACCTTTAGCATTTTTCAGGCAGCACAGTTATTAGCTGGAACTCAGGTTCTGACCCCCTCCTTTCTTTTAGAGGACTCTCAATCTCAAGGACTTACAATGTCCCATTGTAAAGGGGAATTTGTTTGGCTAGAGTTTCTTCTGACCCTTAATCAGCGAGGATTAGAGGCATGGAAATTTTGCTAAGGAAACATGGGTGAGGTGTCCCTGAAGGGTGTTTTGAAACATTTCTTTGAGTTGGAATGTGTCAGCTTCTAATTTAGAGAGTTGTTTTGATTATGCCTTGAACTGGGATACGGGCAGATTATATAAATACTGTGAAGGTGATTCTCATCTTATTTTTACCCGGAGTTGCTACATTAGAGCTGTCTGATATAAAATTTGTGGTGAAGATAGGCTCTGTGGATGGGAAAAAATGGGAAAGAATTGGAGGCTTTATAATGTTATCTGCAACCGTATTTGTTTTTCTGGTGGAACATAAAACTGGAGCTCTGAGTTCTCATTTCCACCGAGTATCTCATGACACTTAATACAAGATTTAGGGATATTATCTCTCTGAGTCTGGACAACTTGGATTATTGCATTCTGCTGCCATGAATCAAATATGAATCTAAGCATGGAAAAATGCATCATTTGGATCTCTTTTCAAATGTCATTGCTCATTCTGTCCAACAATTTGAAAAATGAAAATGTCCTTCCTACAGTGCTTTATTTTGACTTGCTGATTTCCTTTCCTTCCATTGCAGGGAAGGGTAAGAGATTTGACATGTTTACCTCAAATTATTATAAATAGCTTTGGTACCTGAAACCGTCTTGTTACTAAATTTACCCATCTCTCTCTGTGTTCAGGAATCCTTTTAAATCAGTCTGTGTTTCTATATGAAATGTTTGAATGCTGCAGTGAAATGGTGGCTGTTCAGCAGCACTGAGCTCTGGAATTTGACTGGGGCTGTGGGAACATCTCAGCAACCCTTGGGAAAAATCCCAAGGCTGGGACTTTGCTTTATTGGGGCAGTGACTGTCAGATGTGAGTTTTCTGTCCGCTGCATGAAGGAGTTTTCCATGCAGACAGTCTCTCACGTAAGGCAGATGAAACTGCAGCTACACACGGCATGGGGATTTGTTCCAACTATCTTGTCTTATTCTTTTTAGTAAGAACATTCATTGGCCAGGTCCCCCTGAAACTTAATATTACCCATGGGAAGTATGCAGAGCTCCTCCACGTCGAGGGTGAAATCCTGGCGATGGTGAGTGTCATTGCCGGGCAATGCTGATGGGACAGGTCCCCTTCGCTCCTCTTACGGTTGTCATGGGAAGGCACGAGACTCTGTAGTGTGGATTTAGCCTTTTTAATCATTGAACCATCCTGGTCTAGTGTAAGTAGGTCTGGTGAGATGTACACTTTTAAATCCCAGCACGCTTCTCTCCCCTGCCCTGCCCAGGCTGCCAAGACAGCAGCGGAGAGATCCGGCTCCGATGGGGCTTAAGACAGTGTATCTGCCCAGAAAATCCTGAAGCCCTTTTCGTGAAGTGGTGTGGCTGGGTTCACGCTTCTGTAGCCTCCATCCTTTCCTAGTGTCTTCTGGCTACATTGCCTTTACCAGACCTCGAAAGGGCATTAGTGCTCCTCCAGGATCAAACATTAAAACAGTAACTCTGGGCTTCATTGTTCATCAGTAAATCTCACAGGTGCTGGGGCGGGTTGGTGCTGGCAGCTGGTGCCACCTTGCTCTTCGCCAGACCCCATGGGATGAAGCACAGCAGCAGCACCCACCCAAACATACCTTCCTCTTGGTGGAGTTTCCCAGCCATGCTATCGCAACCATGTGGCCCTCGGGCAGTTGAGAGCAAGCGCTGGGTGAGCTGGTGGCTTCCCCATATGCTGTGCCATCAGTTGCTCCAAAAATACCACTGGGCTGGGGATAGGTACATCTCTGTGCGTTTTTTAGCCAGATCACTGCATGCCTGAGTTCGTCCTGTTAGCAGTTCCTGGGCTGGCTGCAGTTCATCCCAACTCTTTTTGGAGTAGGTGATTTGGACACGCTGCCAAAGGAGGGGGGAGCCAGGCTGAGTCACCTTGATGCTGCCTTCACGGCTTGTGCTGGGGAGTGAACACAGACAACCGCATGGATCTGGGGAGAGGGAGGCTCCTTGGAAGATGCGCAGTCTCCGAGGGCGCTGCTTTGAGCTTGGCCTCGCATGGGGCTCTCTCCCCGCTGGCTTCTGGCTCGTCCTCGGCCTTTGCGGTCATTGCACAGTGGGGCCCCAGGCAGATGCTCATGTCAAAACCCCTAGGTCTTCGTTCCTGTCCAAGGATACATGATGGTGTCTTTGGCCATCCCTTGCTGGCAACAGGACGGCACATCTTTCTTATCAAGCAGCTGAACTGCTGGGATGCTCAGAGCCCCCTCGGCCTCAGCAGGCGGCTCTGGCGAATGCAGGAGATGGTGTCGGTGACCCAGGAGGGGTGTCCCATGCTGCGTCCTGCTGGGCTGCCTCCCTCCATCCCCCCTGGGCCACTAACAGCTGCTCTCTCCTTCTCTGCAGCTCAATGCATCACTGTCGGGCTTGCCGGGGTACCGCCACTCCACAGTTAAGGCAACCAGGTAAGGCTAAGGCTACCAGGGGAAGAATGAGAAACTCGAGCACTTGGGATGTTCAACTTGAGATCCACATTCTTCATTTTGAGTTGGTGCTGGGCTTGATGCAATCTGGTCTGGCAGTAGCGCAGGGCACGGGGAATGCCTGACCACCTTGCCCGGCTCTCCTAGTACCCTCCTCCTGGCCTGAGCGGCTTGGGGACGGGCTTGTGAGCTTGTGAGGGATTTATGGCTGGTTTTAAAGTGAGCTACCAGCACCCCTTCCAGCCCCAAATTTACCTCTCTGTGTGTAAGTTTGTCCTGTTTTTAAGCTCTGTTACAATGCACGGCTGTTTTAGTATGTATGCAATATTGTGTCTGCGATAAGCATTGCTTGCTTTAATGAGAGTCCTATGTATAATGTGCGTTAATGAGTCCTATGTATATGGTGCTAACAATGACATTAGACTGACCTGTGGTACTCAGGGCTGTTTTGTTTTGTTTTCTGTTAGGGAGGCAAATTTTGTGCATGTTTCAGTGCAATCCACGTTCTCTTTAGCATCCAACGTGACTTTCTACGATGTTGTCAGCAGCGTGAAAAGCTACATTCGAGCTTGCAAATCCCCCACCGAAGTCTGCCAGTTCATCTCCAGCCTGAAACCGCTCCACAGAGGTAAATAGCATCTGGAGGGAATGTGACGGGAGGGGAAAGGGATGTTTTATTTGGCTCCTTTTGTAACAGGGGGAGAAAGATTTTGGCGTTTGGAAAAACCCCTCTGAATCTTTTTTATCTTATTTAAATGGGAGTCATCTTAAGAGCCTTGCAGTACAAAAGGGATGCAGATATCGAGCCTTATCTTCGCCACATGTGTGAGAAATCTGCCTCTCTCTGAAAACATCGCGCAGCACAGGATTAGAGGCATTATAGGGCAGCCTTTCATCTCTGGGATGTGACACCGGGCCCTGGCCAGATCAAAAAACCATAAGTCTTAATTCTACCCGCATGGCCGGGAGCCGGGGAAATGGTGTGAAAGCCAAGAGACAAAACCCCCCAGTGAAGTTGATTAGAGCTGCTGGAGGCTATGCGGGGAGCTGCACTCTCCTGCCCACCCTACTTCGGTGTTGCAGGGTGTAAAAATGGTTCACAATTTAAAACTTTCGATTTCTGTACCGAATCCTCTACCTGCCAAACAGGAACATGGGTGCGGCACAGAGAGACCTGGAGAAGCACATCGGTGTTGTGCAGGACCTTTTCCAGGTGGACTCCATCAGTGGTGGTGGCCCTGTGCCCTGCACCTCTTGGTCCTTGCTTTCCAAGGGAGCGATAGAGGAGATTTAGCCGTGAGAGGTACCAGCAGGATGCAGGCAGTGAGCACCCTTGAAAGATGGGCTCCTGCAAGGAAACTTCTGCACATGGAGCTCTGTGACTTTGGGGTTCGAGGCTTCAAGGTTTGGCTTTGAGTATGAAGGGCGGCAGCGCTTAGCCTGGGTGTAGTGGGAAACTCCTCGGATCATTTTGGTGAAGTAAACATGAAGATGAGAAATTTAGCACGTGCTTTTATTTTAATGTGCCATATTTTAAAGCCACACTCCACTGGGGATTGAATGAAATTATTTTGGTAGACCTGCTCAGATTATATCTAGTCGTTGCCTCTGATTGATAGAATGGTTTTGGTAAAGCCTACTTCTAACTTGAAATAAGCAGAATAAGAAACAAATTATGTACTTGTGTAAGTACTTAAAAGAAAAGATGTCAAATAATAAAAAAGAAAGATGATGGATCTAGCAGGGAGAGGTTTATAAAAGGTGAGTGCCAATTGAGTGACACGTTTTCCATAAAATCCTATTTCTCATGAATATTTTTTCATTTGTTCATTCCATTTAGTCTGACCTCCCAGTAAAAAAATGTAAATTCGGTGACACAATTTCCACCATTTACCCATAGTTTTGCTGAATGCTCATTGTAACAAATCTGACTTTCTAAAGTAAAACACTGCTTCAAAGTAATGTAAATGAAAGGACAAATTATTTGTTTGAAAAATGAAAAAATACAGTGCTTAATATTGAAATGGAAAAAAATTGGTTTGGGTTGAGCAAAATGTTTTGCTTGATATAAACATAAAAATTGGTTTGTTGAACTACTCAGAGGGTGAATGTGTTTCAGCTTGAGCCAAACCAAATTTTTCTTTTTCATTTCCCCTTCTGCCTCCAAGCTGAAACATTTATTATTTGCCCCCTCTATTTGCCTGTACAAATGACAGTAGATATGCAAGAAACGGTGACATAGTGTAATGTTGACTGTCTCCTAATGGAACAAATATTATTTAAAAAAAAAAAAAAAGAAAAGAGATTAAAGCAGCACATGAGCTGAATGTGATGCCTGGGGAAAGCAAACGTGCATAACAGTGGGTTCAGAGAGAACCGCGCTGATGTTGGCCACCTCTTCCCAACAGTTGGCAGCTTGTGCAAGCAGAAAGACCCCGAATGCGACAAGGAAACTTCTGAATGCACCGACTTCGATGGAGTCGCACTCTGCCAGTGCAAAAGTGGGTACTTCAAATACAACAAGATGGACCACTCCTGCAGAGGTATTGCTCTTTATGGGGTGTATTTTGTCTGAATTTTGCTTAAACTTTTTGTTCTGGTGGAAATGAGTGTGTGTTTGTGTATCACTGTGCATGCAAGAAGCTCAATATTATGAATAAATATTAGCAGCTCAAGTTTCTTTTATTTAGTTAGGGGACGTTTCAGCAGACGCTGAAGATACAGTCTCTCTCTAGGAATAATATTATCTCTTTCTGGAGCACGCTGTGAGTCACAGTGATCGAGAAGAGGCAGAAAGGGGCCCAACGGCTTTGGGCTCCAGTTCAGTGGCACAGAGCAGAGATGACGTGCGGCTCTGCCTGTTTTGATTTTGTCTGAACTCTCAGCGAACTTAGGAGAAGTGCTTTAAACTCATAAGCTTATATTAATACATCATCAATATTTTTAAAGTAAGTATCTGAAAATGATTATGAATTTATTTTTCAGCTGGGTTCCTAATAGAAATTTTAAGCTTAAGGGTTATAGTATTTTTTAGCTACTCCTCAGATCATGAAATCTCTTTTTGCTGCATTTTAAACAAGGTCTTTGTTCGCATACCAGTGGTCAAAATGACTTCTGTAGGATCGGGGTGTCCATTCCCTAGTTCTAGCGGTTGTTGTAGGGCTTCTTAAGAAATGCAGTTTTCTGATGACTTATCAATGAGAATTGCAGTAGTGGTTATATGTTGCTTCTGGCAGTGTCTGCTGGGTTGCTGTTGAAATAGGAGGAGCTGCTTTGTCGATTCCGAATCTGATCAGAAAGTGAGAAAAATGTGCCTGGAAATAACTCACATACTGCAGGCTCTGGGATGGACATCTTGGAGCTGGGCATCTCTGGGTCCTAGGTCACGGTCCTGCCTCTTCTCCACTCTGTGGCTCCAAGCAAAACCTTTCTCCTTTGTGTTTTCCTTCCCTCCCTTCATCTTGTATGTTGGGGGAAGGATTTCTATCAAGAAATACTGACCATCTCCACTGACCCTTGAGAGACAGAGAAGGGCTTATGTACTGAGTGGGGAGCTGAGCTGAAACCTGGGAGGCTTTTGCCCAGTTTTTGCTCCCTCATTGACGGTGGGGACCCAGGGTGAGTGACTCCATTTTTCTTGTCCATGTCTCTTGCCAAGCAGTGTTGTGAAGATAAATACATGAAAGGCTGTGAGGCACTCGGATGCGATGGTTGCAGAGGGCTAAGAGATCTAACATCTTGTATGTGTGGTTACTCCCTACTTACGGGTCTTGTTTGCTGTGCAAAATATAAAAAACCCTGCCTGCACACAGCGAGGCCTCAATTCCACCTTCAGCTCGCTGTTGTCTGTAGGAAACATCTTATTGACCAGCTTGAGCATGTCTGAGGGACAGGGTTGATGCAGGATTTAGGCTGCAGCGCAGGGGTGTGAGGGTAGCACCCACTGCATGGTGCCACGCTCCAGCAAAATACCAGATTTTCAGCATCACTTCATTCCCATCTGGGTAAGCCAGGTGGTTGGGATTTTTAAAGGCTTTTTCAAAAGGCAAGGTATGGCTCTTATTTGATATCTAGGGCTATTTTTCTGATAAATATAGCATACAATATGCCAGCCTCTTTGAAAATCTCTGCCCTCTTAGTGACTAAACAGGAACCAAGGTCTCCTGAGCGTCCGACCCTCATTGTGGGTTGTGAAAATGTGGCGTGGTAACTCCAATTATAGTATTTGCAAAGAGGGAAATGGCTATTGTGCTGCCCTGTCCGGTCTCCCCCGTGGGAAGGCGGGTGCGGCTGGGAGAGCTGCTGGGGCACAGGGGATCAGCCGCCCCGACCCCCAGGGATTGTTCTGTCCTGCCTTGTGGTGTCTGTCCCCCGGGGCATGCTTGAAAAAGCATCCCCTGGACCAAGGAAGGGCTGGGTCTCTGAGCCACAGGAATTTCAATGTGTTGGCCGTGGTACCTCTCAGTGTGCAGTTCAGTGGTCTCTGGGTCATTGCTGGCTTTCAGCCTTCCCGGTATCTTCAGGGCTGTTTTAGAAATAGGGCGACAAACTCAATGTGCCAGCTTTTCAAGGGCATGCTATTTTTAATAGTACAGAGCATTTCTGGAGCGAAGCAAGGAGCAGCAAAGCAGGTTTCCAAAGAGACCCCTGAGTCTCTTTTGGGAAGGCAAAGGCAAAGGAATCCTGAGTAGAAAAGCACAACTCCGATAGCTTTGCTTGGCCCCTGACACTTAAGCCTATTCCCTGCTCATGTTTCAAAGCTTGCCGAGTGAGTGTGACAGTGTGAGCTCTCCTGGGAGCATGTTCAAAGGAGCAGGAAAGATGCCAGAGGAGAAAGCAAAGTGGCAGGAAAAGGCAGGGTGAGGAGAGGAAAAGACATAAGCACCGAGCATTTAAGTAAGACAGGGATATGCATGTTCAGGATCTTGCTTTTTCTCTTTAGTGCCCCTATAGCCTCCTGGCCTGAGGGCTGTGTGCCAGTGGGGTCCCAGGGCTGCTCCTGCTCAAGGCACGGCTCCAGCTTTGAGACCGCTCAAGGTGTGTGCCCTACACATGGTATTGGGCTACGGCTGAGGGGGTGAGATTAGGCTGGGCTCCAGCATCTGCCTGCGGGCTCCTCCAGGCCTTCCTAACACACAAGCGGCGGGCTGCGGCTGGGGCTGAGGCTGGGGCTGGGGTACACGGGGCTCATTAGAGAAGGCAACTCCAGCAAGTTGTCGAGGTGATGCCTCCCTCCCTTTCACTGCTGATTTCCTTATTGCCTGATCTTGTGGCTCGCTTTGGTAGAACATTTGCTCCATAATGTTTTCAGTCTCCTTTTGTTAGCAAGTGAAAGGAGCAACCCATCCAGTCTCATTTTGCTAATGACTCGATGTTATGAATGAGCCAGGCAAGGATCCTTTGGGATTTACTCCCCTTGCCCTGGCTGTTTGCTGACTGAGGCTCTTAACTCTTGTCCAATTGCCTCTGGTCTCTTCCTTGACTTCAAAGAAACCATCTTAGAGAGAGAAAAATAAATCCAGTGCAAAAAGCATCATGATGAGATACTGCGGCGTGGCTACATAAAAAGCCTCACCCTCCCCATCCCCAGCTCTGGGGGAATAAATGGAGTGAAAGAGGTAGTGGGGGAGTAGTGGGGCTATGTAGGGCAGAGAAAGGGGTGCCAGACCAGCTATTGTGGACATCAGCCCCCCTGTCATCGTTGGTGCCAGTTGCTATGGCAAGTCTGTGCCTAGAGCTGCAATATTCATGATGTGAGTGCATCACTCATCTGCATCCACACACCCCGCAGGGAAAATGGCATGCTGAGTGACATGAGACGCTTAGTAAATGGTATATAGGCAAACAGTATTTCAGTATGATCACAAGCAAGGCCAGGCATCCAAGAGCAGAGTGCCAGGCACACTGTGGGTTGCGTCTCCTGGAAAGCAGAGACTTGGGCAGAGCCGCAAAGGGGGCCTGGCAGGCAAAGAAGAGGTCCCCAGCTCTGACTTGTAAGGCTAATACGATCCCTGGGTGCATTTAGGGATCACGGGCAGGCAGAAGAGGGGAAGTTTTGTTATCCCTGGGCTTGCGACATCTATTTCTGGGAACCAGAAATCAAAAGGGTCAAAGAGAACCTGTGAGCGTTCAGAGAAAAGCTGCAATAACCAGGGAGACTCAAAGATCTCAGTGCACTTGGCTTTATTAAAGGCAAAGGAGTGATTTGATGGTGAGGAGGAGAAATGTGTTCACATAACCTTTTCCAATCTAGCAAGTAAACATCCAAAGGCTGGAATTTGACACTGGGATAATTCAGACCAGAAAGAAGGTGAATGTTTTTAATGGCTGGGGAAATTAATTTTATGAGCATCTGACCCAGGGTTGTGGTTGATTGTCCGTCACTGAAAATGCTAAAATCAATCTTGGATGGTTCTCTAAAACGTAGCTCCAGTTCAACTATTTGATTTGAAACTGGAATTAAATTTAGGGAAGTTCTGTGACCTGTATTATGAGGGGGAGGTCGCAGCCACATCGCTCCCTGCTGGCATCAGTATCGCTTGTTGCTGGTGCTGGAAGAGCCACAAACTCCTGAATCCAGCCAGAAAACGAGTGCTCTCTCTTGGTTTACTGTGATATTGCCACCCCATCCTAATGGACAACGTTGCACGTTTGTCCTTCTTTTCTTCCTCCCTCCCCTCCTGTGCTAAGTGTTTCTGAAAATACAGTTGCCAGCTGTGCCAGAGGGGAAGAGGCATCTGGTGTGCTGGGAGCAGCAGAGGAGGAGGAGAGGAGGCGAGGGCTTTGCTGCGGCTCTGCTGGGCAGCCCCCTCCTCTCCCCGCGGATTTCCTCGCGCTTGCCGGGCTTAGAGGGCACCCGAGCTTTCGGCTGCGGGTTATCCCTGCGGTTGAAGAGCAAGGCAGAGGGAAGAGGGCTTGAGAGCTGCTGCCTCACCATTTTTAAGCATATGGTGTTTGAGGGGGGAAAAAAAATCCATGAGTATTTTTGTTTTCACTTAACAATCTAGTTTTATTCCCTGTGAAGTGTGCTGCGGGGGTTTCCCAGACCCCTGGGTGATGTCTTGCAGACCCCCAAGGGCTGCTACATGGGCTGTCCCTCTGCCCAAAGCGACTCCATCCCTGTCACCCCTACTCAGGTCTTTGAGCAACCACCTTCGCTGCCTCTGCGAAAGGCAGCAGATCTGCAGGAGCTCTGGTGGGACTATTGCTGAGAAAAACAGTGATCTTATTGGTAATTTGAAGCTTATAATTGTATGTCCAATGTGTCATCACCTTTGCTGTTCATCAGAAGGGTAGTATAATTTTCTCAGATAATTCAGATGATAAGATAGCTATCCTTTAAGCACAGCACTTATTTTGAAGTGATGGCTTCAGTTTTTTACCAATATTTTGTACATAGCAGTTTTCTGGGTTATTTAGACCTAGTAAAAAATTTAATTTATATTCTATAATAAAATATGATATTTAAAAATTTGATTTAGCTCCAAATTTGAAATAAATTTTTTAAAGTGACATTTTTCAGAGGCAAAACCTAACATATCACTTTGGGTTAACCATGACTCTGTTTGCATAACATTTCATTGCAGTACTAACATTTAAAAGTAATGAATAACGTGCATCAACAGTGCAAGTAGCGCTGTTCAAATGAAGTTTCGAAACAAAAACTGGAGACACTTGCAGATTTTTTACACTGCTATTTTGTGGGAAGCAATACAAGTGTGCAGTGAGTTTCCATTTGGGCAAGGAGAGGTTCTGCTGGGAATTACGTTACCAGCTGCTCACACTGTCCCAGGCTCTGGGCTAGCTCTGCCGGGAAGCCCTGAAATGGTCCCATCAAAGCCAAGAGGGAGGTGAATTTAAGTGCGTGGTGTTTTGCCTGAACCAGAGGAGATCTTGCATCACGTCAGAGTGCATGGCGTTGCTGCTGTGCCAGCAGCGCAGAACGGCTTGTCGGGCCTCAGGGTTGTTTGGGGTGAGGCTGCCGTGGGAAGCAGCGATGGGAAATGCCTCCCCTGCACCACTACGCGGTGCTCATGGCCCTTCTCTCTTCTCTGTTTTTAGCCTGTGAAGATGGATATAAGCTGGAAAATGAGACCTGTGTGAGGTATGGTGACTGTTCTGCCCTCTTCCTACCCCACCATCCTTCTTAATATTGCTTTGGTGATCTGTCAGCACAACTAAGCTGCTGAAACTCCCTGTTGTTCTCTGTTACCAGCTGCCCGTTTGGCTTAGGTGGATTCAACTGTGGAAACTGTAAGTACCGAGTTTTGTTTCTTTTAATTTCCACAGCGTCAGAAATGGGAAATTTGAAACAAGTAATTGCAAACGATTGTGTCTAAAATGCAGTAGGTACACGCTACTCTTGTCAGTGTTTTTCGTTTCTTCATTTTCTGTTGAAAATTATTTTGTTGACCTTCTTTGACAAAGTTGACTTAATGTTGTCTCCTAAGGAAAGGAGGTGTCCTTTCTCTGGATACTCTGTCATCATAGCACATATAGGGGGCACTCTTGAAGCAAGATATTCAGAGGTGAATCCATGAAATATCGTTTGAATTATTCTGATCTATCAGTGAAGGGAACCTGTCCCCTAGGGAAACAAGAGCTTCTTCTTCC